AAACTGTGGGAAATAAGAAGTGAGTTTGGCCCTTTGATAAAGTTGGGTTCAGGGACTGCTTATCATTGAAACAATGAGCACAAAAGCAATTCAGTTCTGGGACTTCTCACAAAACTCAGCGGGCCAGGCAGTGCCCACTCTTGTTCTCAGGCATTCCAGGGGAGTGGCAGAGGGACGGCCAGCACGAGACATCTTCAACGTTCTTTTTCCCACCCTTTAGAATTGGTAAGTCTCTGATCGTTTAGAAAAGGATTTGTTTTGCAAGAACCCAAAGTGTCCCCAAGAACTATGTTTACCCATAATAGGCCTTGCTCTCTGTTTAACATAGCCAGATGGACACTGCTATTTGGCTCATGGTCATATCCCCACAGATTTGACCTCATTTAGAGGACACTATTAAAAGATTATCCTATTATTGAGAATTTCCATTGCATCAAATAGTAAATATTAGTAACATTCCTCTACAGGGAAAATGATGTAAGAAGAGGGCAAGACTGTGTTGACCTCAGGCAAATCACACGGATAGGTATGTGGCAATTATGAAACTCAGTACTGCCTAATAAAACCCAGTGGCACACAGAGTAAAGGTCCAGGGGCAGAGACTTTCCCAGTAGCTCTCGAAGGAAGTGTTCAGGTTCCACTGAAGTCATAGATGGAAGTCTTAGTACTGAGGTGGTTATTTTGAAAGAGGCTAAGGAAGAGAAAGTGCATGTAGCAGGATGGCAGGATGGGATGTTGGGATAATGGGATGATGGGATGATGGGATGTTGAGATGATGAGATGATAGGATGATGCGATGTTGGGATGTTGGGATAATGGGATGATGGGATGATGGGATGTTGGGATATTGGGATGATGGGATGATGGGATGTTGGGGTGATGGGATGATGGGATGTTGGGGTGATGGGATGATGGGATGTTGGGATGATGGGATGTTGGGATGATGGGATGATGGGATGATGGGATGTTGGGATGTTGGGATGATGTGATGATGGGATGTTGGGATGATGGGATGTTGGGATGATGGGATGTTGGGATGATGGGATGGTGGCATGTTGGGATGTTGGGATGATGGGATGATGGGATGTTGGGATGATGGGATGATGGGATGATGTGATGTTGGGATGATGGGATGATAGGATGTTGGGATGTTGGGATGATCGGATGATGGCATGTTAGGATGATGGGATTGGGATGATGTGATGATGGGATGTTGGGATGATGGGATGATGGGATGTTGGGATGATGGGATGTTGGGATGATGGGATGATGGGATGTTGGGATGATGGGATGATGTGATGATGGGATGATGGGATGTTAGGATGATGGGATGATGTGATAGTAGGATGTTGGGATGATGGGATGATGGGATGTTGGGATGATGGGATGTTAGGATGATGGGATGATGGCATGTTGGGGATGATGTGATGTTAGGATGATGGGATGATGGGATGATATGATGATGGGATGATGGGATGTTGGGATGATGGGATGATGGCATGTTGGGATGTTGGGGTGATGGGATGATGGGATGTTGGGATGATGGGATGATGGGATGATGTGATGTTGGGATAATGGGATGATAGGATGTTGGGATGTTGGGATGATGGGATGATGGCATGTTGGGATGATGGGATGTTGGGATGATGTGATGATGGGATGTTGGGATGATGGGATGATGGGATGTTGGATGATGGATGATGGGATGATGGGATGATGGGATGTTGGGATGATGGGATGTTGGGATGATGGGATGATGTGATGATGGGATGATGGGATGATGCAGGATGTTTAGGATGATGGGATGAGTGGCATGTTAGATGATGGGATGATGGGATGTTGGGATGATTGGATGATGGGATGATGGGATGTTGGGATGATGGCATGTTGGGATGATGGGATGATGGGATGATGGGATGATGGATGTTGGGATGATGGGATGATGGGATGATGGGATGATGGGATGTTAGGATGGTGGGATGATGGGATGATGGGATGATGGGGATGATGGGATGTGGGATATTGGGATGATAGGATGATGGCATGTAGCTTGGGATGATGGGATGATGTGATGTTGGACATTCAGGATGTTGGATGTAATTGCTGATGTTGGGATGTTAGGATGATGGGATCACTTGGATGATGGAATTATTGAGATGTTAGGATGATGGGATGTTGGGATGATGGGATGATGGCATGTTAGGATGATGGCATGTTGGGATGATGTGATGATGGGATGTTAGGATGATGGGATGATAGTTGATGGGATGATGGCATGTGGGATGATGGATGGTGGATGATGGCATGTTAGGATGATGTGATGTTGGGATGATGGGATGATGGCATGTTGGGATGATGGGATGATGGGATGTAAGAGTTATTATATTACAGGATGATGATGTTGGGATATTGGATGATAGGATGTTGGGATGATAGGATGATGGCATATTAGGATGATGCATGTTGGGATGTGATGATGATGGGTCTTTGGGATGTTAGGATGAGTGGGATAATTCAGCATGTTGGATGGCTGGATGATGTGATATTGGGATGAGTAGGATGTTGGGATGATGCAGTATTTGGGATGTTGGTAAATTAAGATGTTGGGATGATGGGACAGTATGTTGGATAGGCATATGCCAGGATGAGTATCACAGTATAGTGGATGTTTGCCCAGGATGATGGGATGATGGGTGCATTAGGATGATGGATAGTGGCATGTTAGGATGATGGGATGATGGATGATGGCATGGGATGGTGTGATATTGGGATGAATAGGTTTGATGGCATGTTAGGATGATGGGATGATGAGATGTTGGGATGATGGCATGTTGGGATGATGTGATGTTGGGATGATGGGATGATGGCATGTGGTTGATGGGATGATGGGATGATGGGATGATGTGATGATGGGATGATGGGGATGATGGGATGTTGGATGTAGTCAGGTTGTTAGGATGTTGGGATGTTGGGATGGTGGGATGATGGCATGTTGGGATGATGGCATGTTACAGGATGACAGGATGATGGGAATGGAATGGGGTCATGAGGGCCAGCTCCACCTGCTTCTTCATTTGGCTGAGTTGCATAGTTTCTTTGCCATACTTCCTTCCACAAATGATGCTCATAATTTCAAACTGCACTAGTACCATAAGTAATTTGAGAACCAAGACCTTGGAGCGATTCTAATAATGTATCTTTTGAATGTTGCTGGAAAAGGTACTTGAAAGAGTCATGAAGGAAGCAGATTCTAGTCATAGAGGGACTGGGGAAGACACGGGACCAACAAAGATTTGGTAGCTCCTTGATCAGCTTTTAGTTCTAAGAGTTTACTTGAACATACTTTAAAAACAATTGGTTGGTTGATTTTGTTTTGCCAAGTAAATTACAGGCCGTACGTGGCTCAGCACCTGTAATCCCAGCGTTTACAGGAGGCCGGGGCAGGTGGATCTCCTGAGGTCAGGAGTTTGAGTTCAGCCTGGCCAACCTTGGTGAAACTCTGTCTCTACTGAAAATACAAAAATTAGTCAGGCGTGGTGGCAGGTGCCTGTAATCCTAGATACTAGGAGGCTAAGGCAGGAGAATTGCTTGAACCCGGGAGAGAAAGTTACAGTGAGCGAGATCCATGCACTCCAGCCTGGGTGGAGTGAGACTCGTCTCAAAAAAGCCACTGCACTCCAGCCTGGGTGGAGTGAGACTCCGTCTCAAAAAAAAACAACAACAACAAAAAAAACAAAACAAAAGTAGTACGTGATTAGTGAAAGAAAGTCAAGCAATACGAATGCATGTAAAATAAGAAAGGAAAAATCTCCTTCCTTCTTTGCCAGACAGGGACCAATACTGTTACAATCTGTCTCTCTTTCAGAACTTTTATTTGTGTATTTGAGACAGGGTCTTATTCAGTCACCCAGGTTGGAACACAGTGGCATCACCATAGCTCGCTGTAACCTTGAATTCACTGTAAGCTTGAACTCCTATGCTCAAGACATCCTCCTGCCTCACCCTCCTGAGTAGCTGAAACTACAGGTGTGCACCATCATGCCTGGCTATCTTTTTTTTTTTTTTAAGAGATGGAGGTCTCACTCATTGCCCAGGCTGGTCCCAAACTCCTGGCCTTACGAATCCTCCCATCTCAGCCTCTAAAAGTGCTATGATTGCAAGTGTGAGCCACTGTGCCTGGCCCTCTTTCAGAACTTTAAAAACACTATATACACTATAAATGTGTTTTTGGGGTGGGGCTAATTATGTATGTTCTGCATTTTTTTTAACTTAATGTTTTATGGACTTTTTTTACTCTTTTAAAAAAATTTCTACTCTTTTTAAAGTGGGTATTTGTTATTTTGAATAAAGTGAAATGGAAAATTCTGTATCTGATGTATTTAAAATATTTTTCTTGGTATGCTATACTTACCAACATGTTTTATAAGTTGCTTCTAAATGATAACCATACTAGATAGTGGTCCACCAACCAGGATAAGATAGGATAGGTAAGAAGCTAAGAGACATGCTCCAGGTGAAAAAGCAGATTTCTTAAGACTATGTTTAGTATAATTCCAGTGAAAAAGCAGATTTCTTAAGACTATGTTTAGTATAATTCCAATTATATAAAACATATATATATATATGCACAGAAAACAGTCTACATTATAGACACCAGAGTGCTAATGTCTCTTATCCCAGGATGGCTAGAGTATAAGTAATTTTTCTCGTTATGCTTCTTCTGTGTTTTCAACAATGAACATTTATTACTTTTAAAATTAGTTAAAATTAATGTAATATAAAAATCACAACTATCTGATGAAAAAAGTTTGTGTCTAAAGGCTACAGAAAATAAATCCATCTGAGTTAGCTTCCACTCCATTCCAAAACCCCAGAGTAACAGAGTAGAAGTCAGGCCTTCTTTCATTTTCTTAAATTAATGAATTAGATTTAAGTTCCCTCATTATGAGAAGATAATCTTTAGCATCACTGAAAGAGTTAATCAAGAAATGAGACAAAAATCAAGAGATCATATTCCTTTATTACATATATGAAATATAAAAACAAATTAACAAAGCAATATATATATATTTTTGCAAGTCCACAGGACTTCAGGGAAAAAATGGTTCTGTATGTGAAATTATTCATATGGCACTGTGTTCATGTTTTGTATATTCAAGTACAAAAGAAACTATGTATAGTGGTTATGCATGGGTATAGAAGATGAATAATAATGAAAAACTGTGATTTGTTGGCTATCACATACATTGTGTTAAAAAACAGGTAAATATAATGACTTACTGTTAAGAAAGACAAGGAGGACAACTGTTTCAATGTTCAGGTTTAAATACTAAGCACAAAAATATAACAAATTCTGTGTCTACAATAATTTTTGAAGTGTATACAAGTGCGTTGCAAATGAGCTTTTTAAAATTTAAAGTCCATTTCCACTTTAGCCAAGCATATGTCTACATTTATGATTTCTTTCTCTTATTGTAAAGTCTCTTCTGGTTTAGTTTTTTAAAAAGTTTCATCATGGCTGTCATCTTGGAATCTAGCCTCCAGGTCGAAGCTGAGTCTTCATGCATACATATTCTCCTTTCTGGTTGCATCTTCACCTAGTTTCTCCAAGTATTCAGAGTTAAATGGCACAACTTCTTTTATATGGTCACTTTTGTCCACCTGTAGTGGCAGCGCTTTTGCTTCAGTAGGCTTTCTCACACACTCTTTTCTTTTTCCAACAGCAGTCTCCAAACATTCACAACACAAGTGGTACGTAGTAAAGTGCTTTATACAAGGAAATACTATATACACGTGGAGAGGCTCCATTTAACACCTACAGACCAAAGTTCATGCATAACACACAAGAGAAGGCTCTTTTTAAAGAAATACCTTTTCTGATAGTAGGGTTGGGAATTCCTTAAAACCTCATTCATTACTTTAGCATCAAATGTAAGTAATGTAGCTGAAGCTGGAAGGCGTCCTTGTTAGAGGTACTGCCCTTAATGGATTACTGCTAAATGTCATGCTGCTATTAAAATATCCTTAATAGTTAAGAATTTCAGAATCGGTCCCATAGAAAACAGATATCAGCATAGGGGTTTTCATTTCTCTTCATGAAATAAAACTACATTTAAACATGGGTCCAGAAGAGATAAGTTAAGATGAGACCCATGCATTCAAACATTTCTATATGTTTTGGCACTTTCAAAAATTCCAGTTTCCTGTCTGAGTCTTCTTGCTCTAAAATTTGTGTTTTGTACATAGAGAAGTGCCATCATGTGCTATCCATCTTAATGCTACTTGCACTCTCTTTTTAAAATATCCATGACTTTTCTTCCAAGAGAAGGTTTCCAGTGCTGGACAAAGCTTTTCATATTCACAATTAGTTTGCCTGTTCTTACATCCTCATGTCCTGCTACAAGGTATTCCAAACCTAAAAGAGAACAAAATTAGGGGCTATATAGTATCATACTTCATTGAAGGGAGAGATGTGACTCCAGCAGGCTTTCTTTTGTATTTAGTTTGAGACAAAGTCTTGCTCTGTCATGGGCTGGAGTGTAGTGACATAATCCTGGCTCACTGCAGCCTTGATATCCTGGGCATAGGTAATCCTCCCTCCTCAGTCTCCCAAATAGTTGGGACTACAGGTGTGCGCCACTACTCCCAGCTAATTTTTTCAAATTTTTTGTTGAGATGGGGTTTCATCATGTCGCCCAGGCTGGTCTTGAGCTCCTGGACTCAAGCCATCTGCCCACCTCGGCCTCCCAAAGTGCTGGGATTACAGGTGTGAGCCACCACGCCTGGCTGACTCCAGCAGTTTCATATATTCAGGGTTGGAATAAGGAGTAAGAAACATTAACAGTTGCCATTTAGTAAGCATTTACTATGCTTAGCGCATGTATGCTTTACGTGTATGTTTTACATGTATGATCTCATTTAGCTTTGAAAATAACCCTGTGAGGTAGATATTTTTTCCTTCTTATTTTGCAGATGAGGAAACTGAGGCTCATCAAGGCTAAGAAACTTGTTCGATATCTTTTTGTAAGTATAGCAGCACCTGTACTCAAACTCAGATCATGCTGATTCTAGAACCTTTTCTTTGTACTATACCACACTCTGTGGCAAAGAACTGAGAGTTCTAAGAACACTTACCATACTGCCCTAGATCAGTACCTCTTGGAGACTCACTGTGTATGGTAGTGTATATTAAGGTTTTTTTGTTTATTTGTTTTGTTTTATTTTTGGATAGAGTCTCACTCTGTTGCCCAGGCTGGAGTGCAGTGGTGCCGTCTTGGCTCACTGTGACCTCTGCCTCCTGGGTTTAAGCAATTCTTGTACCTTGGCCTCCAAAGTAGCTGGGACTGCAGGTGTGCACCCCCACACCTGGCTTTTATATTTCTAGTAGAGACAGGGTTTTACCGTGTTGGCCAGGCTGCTCTTCAACTCCTGACCTCAGGTGATCTGCCTGCCTCAGCCTCCCAAAGTGCTGGGATTATAGGCATGAGCCACCATGCCCAGCCTAAGGAGGATTTTTATAAAAGTGAAACAAGCATTTAGGAAAACATATAGGAAAGAAGCTATGAATTATAGAAAATAACACATATTCCCTATATAAAGCCTATGTGTTTTGGGAATAGGATGTTTGTCATACATTTAAAAAAAAAACTAAATAAATGATAAAACTTGCCTAGATCTTGTGATGACCTTGTATTCAAAATTCCTTTCAAGCTTTAGATAACAAATTTTAGCTAATATATCCAAGAAATGAAAGGACAGTCTCATTACCTATAGATTAGTAAAAAGAAATACAATAATTGCCCTTAGTTAATGTTTGTAATAATGTAGATTTTGGTATTTAGGGAAAGCTTTTAAAAATTATAGGATAGATAAAGTAATTAGGTTTATAAAATAAAAATTTTCCAATATGAAATAGAGACATACTTTTAAAAACTAAATTACATGAAAGCTAGATGCTAAAATTCAACTGAAAATATCAATTTAATTTCACAATTTAAATTGATTTCATTGCTCGTTTTTCACTGAAATGCCTGAGAAAAAAATGTCATCCAAGTAGCATGAACACCTATAACAACCATACAGGCTTCTTGGAAAATGGCTTATTCCAGGTTCAGGGCAGGAAGTTGAGCATGGGACATCTTATTGTGTTAAAAACAAGAAAGCTTTCAAAGATGAATGTGTGTCTTTTTAAAAGGACACAACAGCTAGCAGGATGGAGTTATAACGTGTCAAAGCTGTGATAAGTTAAGCACCAAGAAACACAATAATTGTGTGTATGAAAACACATTAAATCCATAGAAATCCATAATTCCAAAATGACACCAAAAATGAGAAAGTCAGAGAAAAATTAATTTGTCCTCTTTAGAGGCAGCTGTTAAAACCATTTCTTACTTTGAAAATTAGAAACTAAAGGGAAAGAATGTAGCATTTATCCTGTCTTTACAATAAGAACTGTATTTCATGGTAACCTAGTTGCCCAGCTTGGGAGAGAAAGCCCTCTTACAGAAGAATGCCAGCTAATAAGAGAAGAGAATTCAAAAGAGTTAGAAAAACATCATTTCTCAGACTCTAATGAAGTTACTGATTGAGGAAAGGATTATCAATTGGCGATAAAGTCATTAAATGAATGGTGAATGGAAAGCTGGATGCTCGTAGAATGCTACGTAATATCACACTCATTCTTTTCTATCTCTAAAGGTAAAACAAAACTTTGGCAATGGAGAGATCAGGCTCTCTTTGTTGTAGTCCAAAGGTCAAGCTTAGAGACACTGATGGGAGGTTATCCAGGTACCATGTGCATTCAACATGATTCAACATGAAGTACACGATGATATCTATAATGGATTCTAGCCAAAATGTTTGTCTCGAATCAATCAAGCCTTTCTTTAGAGATTACAGGAGATAGAAGAGATAGAGGAACAAGCTAAGCACTACCATAAATGAACCAACCACACAAATGTTGATGGTCAGATAAGGGACAGGGCATCTGACCTGGTTTCCTCAACAAGTCATAAAAAAGGAACTGTGTCAGAATAAAAGAGACTTGAGGGACTGAAAAACTAGATGTGTGATCCTGGATTGAATACTGGAAAGGACAAATCAGCTCTAGAGAACATTTTGGGATCAGTTGGGAAATAGAAATAAGACCTGAGTATTAGATAATATGAAAATAAACTAAAATTGAAGGTAAAGCTTATTAACAGAATAATGCAGGTTACAGAATGGAGCATATACTATGATATCATTTTGGTTAAAAATATAATACATATACACAGAGGAAAATTAGAAAGGATTTCCTAAGCTATTAAGAGAGATGATCTCTGGGGGATAGAAATATGAAATTTAAAAATTTCCTCTAAACATCTCCCCTACTCTCCACTCTCCTTTCCTTCCCTTCTTCTTTTTTTTTTTTTTGAGACAGAGTCTCACTCTGTCACCCAGGCTGATGTGCAGTGCACCATCTCAAGTCTGTAGCCTCGATCCCCCTAGGCTCAGGTAATTCTCCCACCTCAGCCTTCTGAGTAGCTAGGACAACAGGCTCACGTCACCATACCTGGCTAATTTTTGTATTTGCTGTAGAGATGGACTTTCACCATGTTGCCCAGGCTGGCCTCGAACTCCTAGGCTCAAGCGATCCACCTACCTTAGCCTCCTAAAGTGCTGGGATTACAGGTGTGAGCCACTGCACCCCGCTAAAAGATTATAAAAAGAAACTAATCCTAAACTTTAAAAAAAGCTATTTTGGTGTTTTCAGAAAAAGAGAAAAAGGAAAATAATGACAGAGGTTTCAATCACTGGAGAGTACAATGTAAAATGAATGAAAAGGCATTTAAATGATAAAAGGCAACCTTAGCTTCTGCATGAAAAAGAACCTCAGTATTTAATTAACTGACTAGTTAAAAATATAGTAGCCTTAAAATTGTTTGTATAATGTCTAAAATAATAAAGTCTTCATTTAAAAATACAATAATCAATTTTTAAGAAACTTCAAGGTTAGGGCTGGATGCAGTGACTCTCGCCTGTAATCCCAGTGTTTCGGGAGGCTGAGGTGGGAGGACTGCTTGAGGCCAGGCGTTTGAGACCAGCCTGGGCACCATAGGAAGACCCTGTCTACAAAAACACAAACAAACAAAGATTAGCTGGGTGTAGTGGCACGTCTGTAGTCCTAGCTACTCAGGAGGCTGAGGCTGGAGGATTGCTTGAGCCTGGGAGGTTGAGGCTGCAGTGAGCACCCTGTCTTTAAAAAAAGAAAAAAAGAAAGAAAGAAATCTCAGGGTTAAGTCTGGTATTTTTACATGAATTTACTTTGAAACTACAAATAGAATAAACAGGAATTTACCATTAAAGTATAAATATAAGTTAAATTGATAAAAACAATACTGAATAAAACCATAAATTATGAAGCAGCATCACACCAAAAATAAACATGCAAAACAATGTTCTTTTACACCTCTTATTAGCATTTATATTTTATTTTCCTGTCTCTGGGGTTTTGACATCTTCTTTGCTACACGTTTGAGAACACGAAGTTTATTTTGTATCCATAGAAAAAGAAAATATAATACTTTAGTGCTAGTCTTGGTATTCTAAAATATATGACTGATGAATGAGTACATGTATGCATGAATTAAGAATGAATGAATATGCAGGGATACCCAATAGGATTGTTTCTTTTCCAAAGTAGCCAAGGAAGCAGGTTGGCGTGTAAGGTTTCAGTTTTCTTATCAGCTTTCTTTGGCCTTAGCTATTGAACTTGTAAAAATGGAAAAACAAAGTAAAATGAAAGAGTGTCTGGTTTTGCTTTGGCAAGTTCCAGTCTTTTCTTCAAAGCAAGTAAACATGTTTTCAAGAATTCTTTGAATAATTGCGCTTATGTTTTCAATTGTGATGAACTCAGTTGATTCTTTGACTTGGCTTGGCAGAAACCTGATTAGGAAGTATGGTTCACTTCCTGGAGGGTGGCTCAGATGGTCAAAGCTTTTGTTTTTAATGTCTCACTAAACTGGGCAGACTTTTTTTTTTTTTCTTTTGCCAAGACAGTAGGAAAGCTCCCATAAGAGATGCCTCTAAGCACAAATCATTGGGAAATAGAACTTACATGAATTATTTTTAGTTTCTTGTATTCAAAGCCCAAGATTCTTATTACTTCAATTTGTTCTTTGGAATTTTATTTATTTATGTATTTTTAATTTCTTTTGAGATAGGGTCTTGCTCTGTTTGCCCAGGCTGGAGTGCAGTGGCTCAATCATGGCTCACTGCAGCCTTGACCTCCTGGACTCAAGTGATCCTCCTACCTCAGCCTTCCAAGTAGTTGGGACTACAGGGATGTGCTACCACACCCAGCTAAGTTTTAAAAAAAAATTTTGTAGATACTGGGTCTCACTATGTTGCCCAGACTGGTCTTGAATTCCTGGGCTCAAGCTATCCTCCCACCTTGGGCTCCTAAAACTGAGATTACAGGCATGAACCACCATGCCCAGTCTGTTGTTTGTTTATTTACGTAATTTAAAATGTTATTTTTCATCTTTTCCTTATTAAAATCTAAATTGATTTAAATACATTATTGAAAGGGTAGAAAAAGATGTGAGAAATTGGTCAACACTTGGCCAAAATCAAAAGTTCTGTATCAATGTTGAGTTTGTTTAGACTGAGGGGATATTTTATTGTCAGTTTATGCTCTCTCTCTCTCTTTCTCTCTCAGTTATCTGTCTGTTTCTCTCAAATTTATTAATCAAAGACTGCAAAAGACTTTTTTTTTTTTGAGACAGAGTCTTGCTCTGTCGCCCAGGCTGGACTGCAGTGGCATGATCTCAGCTCACTGCAACCTCTGCCTCTTGGTCTCAAGGGATTCTTCTGCCTCAGCTCCTGGGTAGCTGGGACTAGGTGCGTGCCATCACACAAGGCTAATTTTAGTATTTTTAGTAGAGACGGGGTTTCACTATGTTGGCCAGGCTGGGTGCAAAAGACTTCTTATTAACGTTAACAATGGGTTTATATGGGGAAGGAATTAGACCAAGAACATAAATAATGCACCTGTTTCATCAGTGTGACTAAGACACAGATGACAATCACACAAGCAGGGAGATGCAGAGCATTTTTTGAATTATGATTTGTTTTATTAGAACCTGCTAAGTATTATGTTACCATTGTCTGGGTACTAATGGTAGGTATTGAAGATACTATGACCAAAAGCCTAAACCCCATCCTCAAATTTGACGAGGGAGACAGAGAAAGAAGCAGCTTATGACCCAGGATAACGCATGTGCTTGGGGCAAGAACCCTGGTGCTTATTTATTCGTCTTCACTTCTGCTATAACATTTAAAGGTGCAAATCAAATTTCTCTCCATTTCAAGTTGCTCTAAAATCCTACAGTTTTTGTTTTGTTTATTTCTGCTGTTTCTAATTTGAAACCAGAAATATCATTTCATGAAAAACAAGATGATGAGAACTTGAGAGCTGTTTTCTCTCCAGGAGAAACAGATGCTTTTCAAGCAATAGTCAAGATGAATTCAATATTATTTCCACAGATGGAATTTTGCATTTGAACTTCCTTTGGGAACAGGTTCTACTGTAATAGGACCTGGCTTTCTGATAAAGAGTAAGTGGCAGATAAATTCATGAAAGTGCTTTCTATGCAACTGGCACCTGGAACCAATCTGAGTCTCCCCTTTTAGGATAGAGAGTATTATATTTCTGGATTTTAAAATATTAAACTTTTATAGAGCACATGGAAGAGAAATAATTTCTCGATGTTAGTTCAAAGAATTACATTTGGATTTTCCGCAGGAGTCAGATGGTGAAAAGGAGAGATGTTCTTGCTGAGTTTATTTATGCTGTGCTTCAGAGGATGTAAGACAAGCAGCAAATCAGCAGAGACAAGGCAGGTACTAAGATAGGAAAGTCTAATACTCACCAGGATTGAGGATTGGACAAGTGCATCCTCTGTCCGTCCATGATTCTGGATATAATGTTCGCTTTCCTCGGAAAATCTTCAGTTTGGTAGATTTTAAGACCTTTTTAATCTTCACATTGACCTCAACATGAGTACCTTTATCATGAGCTGATAAAATCTTTATTTTTAGCACTGTTAACAACACAGAAGTCAAAACACACAGAATTTCATATTATCATTTGACGTTTGAACAACACGTAAGTATGCATTTCAGAATGTAATGGAAAGGTGAATTGATGATGAAGATGTGAAAATTTGCTTTAAAAATCATTAGGCATTAACTTGGATGGAGTTAGAGGCCATTATTCTAAGGAAAGTAACTCAGGAATGAAAAACCAAACCTCATTATGTTCTCACTTATAAGTGGGAGCTAAGTCCTAAGAATGATATAACACTTAGTATGGGGACTCGGGGAAGGGTGAGAGGAGGTGAGGGATACAAGACTACATACTGGGTATAGTGTACACTGCTTGGGTGATGGGTGTACTAAAATCTCAGAAATCACCACTAAAGAACTTATCCGTGTAACCAAAAACCACCTGTTCCCCCAAAACTATTGAAATAAAATAAAAACACTAAATTAAAAAAAAAGTCATACGCTCATTCAGTTTTGCACTGGCTTTATCTCATTTCTCTATATTAACTATATTCTTATTTGTTAGGCAATTTCAAATGTGACTCCCTGCAATATCATTATCCTAAGAGAATATCAACCATTTGCCTATTGCAATTATAATCTTAAATACATTCAGCTACCACATCTAAACAGAGAGAAGAAACATAGGAAGTAGACTTATCCTGGCTTTTATTTAGGTTCTGACTATATTATTCTTTTGTGGCTGATTGTGTTTAATGTTATGATAGAGAGTAAAATGCTACTGCTAGAATATATTTTGCATATTCTAAAGAGATTAAATGATATGATTCACTACTTAATATTCTTCTCCTGGCATAAAATGCAAGCTAACTGGAGTTAGGGAAGCTATCCCTTCATGGGTGTCCAACCTCTTGACTTCCCTGGACCACACTGGACCACACATAAAGTACACTAACACTAATGATAGCTGATGAACTAAAAAAATGTCTGTGCATAATTTTTGTGATATCCGCCACTCCAGATAAGCCAAAAAGTCCTCACATTCAAAGGGCTGGACACCCATGCATGACGGTGGAGCTCCAGTATTCTGTATGACTCATGATTCTATTATGCCCTCCCATTTATGAAATTGATGTGGCTGGGGATTAAGTAATGGAATAAGTTGGGGTTGGAAAGAAAGTAAAGCTAAGGATCACTGAGCTACTCAGGAACACTAGGAAACAGGGAAGTTCTTTTTTCTTTTTGAGATGGAGTCTCGCTCTGTCATCCAGGCTGGAGTACAATGGCGCTATCTCGGCTCAGTGCAACCTCCACCTCCGAGGTTCCAAGCAATTCTTCCTGCCTCAGCTTCCTGAGTAGTGGGATTACAGGCCACCATGCCTGGCTAATTTTCATATATATATATATATATTTTTTTTTTTTTTCACAGGGAAGTTCTTATCGGCTTATCCACATCTCCATGGAAGAGTGTGTGTAATGAGAGCACCCTATCTTGGCTGGTCTCATACTCTGAGAATACAGCTGTCAGACAGCTATGTTTATGGAGTCATCACATTTTAGACTTCTAAGGGGTCTTAAAAGCTCATATATTTTATATAGAGGAAACAAGTTTTAAGAAATTAAGGCCAGGTGCAGTGGCTCACGCCTGTAATCCTAGCACTTTGGGAGGCTGAGGTGGGTGGATCACCTGAGGTCAGGAGTTTGAGACCAGCCTGGCCAACATACAATGAAATCCCGCCTCTACTAAAAAATACAAAAAATTTAGCTGGGCATGGTGGTGCATGCTTGTAGTCCCAGCTACTTGGGAAGCTGAGCCAGGAGAAATGCTTGAAACCGGAAGGCAGAGGTTGCAGTGAGTCCAGATCACGCCACTGCACTCCAGTCTAGGTGACACAGCAAAACTCCATCTCTCAAAAATAAATAAATAAATAAATAAAACAAATAAATAAAATGAACTGTTCAAGTTCGCATAACTGGTTGGCTAGAGGTAGAGTTTGGACTAGAACCCAGATGAGATAAATACATGAAGGACAGGGAGCATAGTGCCCAGCGTGTGGCTAATGCCCAGTAAATGTTCACTATTATTATTCCACTGGACTTGCAAGCTCAAAGAGAGCAGGGACCTTGTCTGTCACTTCTGTTGCTCAATAGGTATTTGCTAAAGGAGTAAGCAAGTAAGTCAAGTGTTTTTTTTTTTTTTTTTTCCAGGGAATGGGGAGGAGGAAACCAATTTTTTCCAAGACTGTAGCAGTATTGCACTTAATAAGACCAAGATGTTTCATTACATTATTAAGAACGTTCAAATTCTTAAGTAGAAAATTAATGCAGTTGTATTAAAAGATTGGTTATTTGTAAATTCAGAGAGCTACAAAGTTGATGTGATGAGGAGAGCCAGTTGATATTTTCACTGAATGAACTGACTTTGAACTAAATTATCATATTTGCTCTTAATAAGCAATGCCATTCCCTCTAAACTGCCTTTCCTTTATTGAGCGCTGTACATTTCAAAAGTTTTCTTCTATTATTTAGCCAAGTTGGAAAGTAGAGAGGGAAGTGTGCATGTAATTTTAGATAAGATTCATGAGGTTTTTACCAGTTATTTACTTTTTAAAATCTTGTATGAGATTAGAGACAATGTTATCGAGAACCTAAACACTTGGTTTCATAAATCATGACTTAAAATTTTCTCCTCATTGTAGTGTATATTTCAGGCCATATATATTATAGAGCAATAAAATCTCAGGCTGGGTGTAGTGGCTCACGCCTGTCATTCCAGCACTTTGGGAGTCCAAGGCGGGCAGATCATTTGAGGTCAGGAGTCCAAAACCAGCCTGGCCAACATGGTGAAACCCCATCTCTGCTAAAAATACAAAAATTAGGCTGGGTGCGGTGGCTCACGCCTGTAATCCCAGCACTTTGGGAGGCCGAGGTGGGCAGATCACAAGGTCAGGAGTTCGAGACCAGCCTGACTGACATGGTGAAACCTCGTCCCTACTAAAAATACAAAAATTAGCTGGGCATGGTGGCACATGCCTGTAGTCCCAGCTACTTGGGAGGCTGAGGCAGGAGAATTGCTTGAACCCAGGAGGTGGAGGTTACAATGAGGCAAGATTGCATCATTGCACTCCAGCCTGGGTGACACAGTGAGACTCCATCTCAAAAAAAAAAAAGAAAAGAAAAATAAAAATTAAAAAATTACCTGGGCGTGGTGGCACATGCCTGTAATCCCAGCTATTTGAGTGGTTGAGGTATGAGAATCACTTGAACCCAGAAGGTGGAGGTTGCAGTGAGTCTAGATTGTGCCACTGCACTCCAGCTTGGGCAACGAAGCAAGATTCTGTCTAAAAAAAAAAGTCTCAGACACTAGGCAAGAATGTGTTAGCAAGATATGATATCTTAATATATTTAATAGTAAATATAAAGCCATTTGAATATAGTAACAGTCTTTACTTAGGCAGTGCCATTTCCCTTTTTGTACAGGATGTATTTTCCTGTTATTTGAAAGACAGGGGTGTCTAGAGTATACAGAGAGGGTGGGGAAGACAGAGAAGGTGGACAGCTAGTCTCAATGCCTCACAAGTAGACATCATCTCCCTCCCTCTACCATTTACCGAGCATTAGATATGTGCTAGGTAATGTGCTGCATGCTTTTCAAACATCTTATTCCACGAGGAAGGTGGCATGATCCCTATTTTACAGATGAGGAAACAAGTTTGGAGAGGTTAAGTCTCCCACACAATAAGCCAGAAATGAAACTCACATAGGTCTGAGTCCAAAGCCTGTGCTCTCAACCATAGTGAAATGCTGCCTTAAACTGATTTCTACTCAGTATTACTGCGTGACAAATGAACACGAGAGTCATTGAAGTGGCTAGAAACATCCCTTTTAGATGAATAAGGCAAGAAGTACCCACAAGAAAGGATTTCATATCATGATTTCTTCTTTCTGCTCTCTGCCTCTTTTTTTTATGGTATAGTAACCCTACCTTTGCTCTACAAGCATCCTGTCCTCCCTGGGACATCCATCACCATCTACATCAGGAAAATCTAGCTCAAGACCAGAACACTGTGTTTAGTGTTATTATGTAAGACTAATGCTTTGTGCTTTCATTTATACACAATGTCATCAGTCCGGCCTCCCATTTTCTAAAAAAGTCTCTGAACTTAGTGTGAATAGGTTCTCAGAAGCATTCAAGGATTTCAGACTCACCATATGAATATTTCATTCCACAGAATGCCTTGGCGTTTCCTAATATCTGTTCCTTACATTCGCATTTACCTACAGAAAGTAAACAAAAAATGGTGTTAGTTATTAGAAAAACAAAGAAAGAAAAAACAAGAGATCAGCAAGTGCATCCAGATAACATATCCCTTAAGCCTTGAGTGATGTGTACAACATAATCTGTAAGTACCAAGGAACCCCGAAAGTCATTCAAAAGAAGTAGAGTCTCTTTCTAAATTAAATTAGTTATCTTCCAATAAAGTATTCACCCAAGAGAAATACGGAAGGTAGAAACAATGATATATTTCAATGCTTGTAATTGATGTTGTGATAAATACAGTCTAGTATTAATATTCCATGCTAATAGAAAGGAACAACTGAATGGAAAACGGTTGTCTTTCTGCAGTTAATGTTCACTACAACAAAAGTGAAATTAAATAAACTGGGCACTCCCTTGAAGGTAATATTGTCCAATTTTTTTGTTGTTATCCATTTTAAAAGTATTTATTGAGCACCTTTGGTATGCAAGGCATGGTGCTTCGCACTTCAGCACCATAAAGATGAGCAAGATACAATTCTTGCCTTAAGGCTTGCAATTCAGTAAGGTGAAGAAACCAAGTGTATAAAAAGTGATAAAGTGATAAGTGGTCTGGGAGAGGTAATCTACTTGGGTGGAAGAGTCACATATGTTTGGGAAGATGGGAAAAAGCTTCTTGGATTAAGAAGGATTTAAAAGGAACTTTGAAGAATAAGTTGAGTATCTTCTCCCAATAGTCTAAATTATATATTGCCACTATTACGTGTGAGAGACTTGCCAGGCCGTGTGGAAGACTTTCAAAATGCCTTTGTGCATAGTTTATTTTATATATGTATGTATGTATGTATATATTTATTTATTTATCTATCGAGAGGGAGTCTCGTTCTCTTGCCCAGGCTGGAGTGCAGTGGCTTGATCTCAGCTCATTGCAACCTCTGTCTCCCTGGTTCAAGCAATTCTCCTGCTTCAGCCTCCTGAGTAGCTGGGACTACAGATACATATCACCATGCCTGGCTAATTTGTATATTTTTAGTAGAAACGGAGTTTTACCATATTGGTCAGGCTGGTCTCAAACTCCTGACCTCAGGCGATCCACTTGCCTCGGCCTCCCAAAGTTCTGGGATTACAGGTGGGAGCCACTGGCATCCAGCCTGTACATAGTTTATATGTAGCAGGGGACCCCAAATCCCTGGCCGCGGATTGGTACTGGTTTGTGGCCTGTTAGGAACCGGGTCGCACAGCAGGAGGTGAGCAGCTGGAGAGTGAGCCGATTCTCATCTGTATTTACAGCCACTTCCCATCACTCACATTACCGCCTGCTCTGCCTCCTGTTAGATCGGCAGCGGCATTAGATGCTCATAAAAGTGCCCACCCTACTGTGAACTGTGCGTGTGAGGGCTCCAGGCTGTGCTCTCTTTATGAGAATCTAATGCCTGATGGTCTGAGGTGGAACAGAAACCATCCCCTGCCCCTGCCATCCATGGAAAAACTATCTTCCACGAAACCACTCCCTGGTGCCCAAAAGGTTGGGGATCACAGATATATAGCATTCTCATACTCATTTGTATATTTGTTTCCTCTCTAGACTGTGTCCCTTCAAGACAATAGTTATATCTTATCGACTTTACATTTCCGGAGCCTAGCATGGATAGGATTTTCACTCTTACTGATTTAACAATTAGATATACTTTTCCCCCTTTCCTCTCCCCTCCTGCCCTCATGTACTGTATTTCATAGGCACTGAGTGGTCAGAACAGCAGCTAGTGCTTACTGAGGAGCACTTGCTGTATACCAGGCTGTTTTAAGCATTTTACATTTATTTACTCATTTAAGATTCTCATAGGTAGAAATTTGGTAGGAATATAGAGATAGAAGAGTGAGCAGCCAGGTGTGGTGACTCATGCTTGTAATCCTCACACTTTGGGAGGTCAGAATGGGTGGACTGCTTGAGCCCAGGAGTCTAAGACCAGACTAGGTAACATAGTAAGGCCTTGTCTCTGTAATAAAGATTAAAAATTGTCGAGCACGCAGGCGCAGTGGTCGGGTGGGGGGAGCGGCGGGGGGCAGGCTGTGACTCTGGAATCTGTGAACCCCAGCCAGCACTGCTTCCCACGCCCGCCGCCATGGCCGCCTACAAGCTGGTGATGATCCAGCATGGTGAGAGCGCATGGAACCTGGAGACGACTGGTACGACTCCGATCTGAGCCCAGCGGGCCACCAGGAGGTGAAGTGCGGCGGGCAGGCGCTGAGAGATGCTGGTTATGAGTTTGACATCTGCTTCAACTCAGTGCAGAAGGGAGCGACCCGGACCCTCTGGACAGTGCTGGATGTCATTGATCAGATGTGGCCCGCCTGTAATGAGGACTTGGCGCCTCAATGAGCGGCATTATGGGGATCTGATCAATCTCAGTAAAGCAGAAACTGCTGCAAAGCATGGTGAAGCCCAGGTGAAGATCTGGAGGCGCTCCTATGATGTTCTACCACCTCTGTTGGAGCCCGACCATCCTTTCTACAGCAACATCAGTAAGGATTGCAAGTGTGCAGACCTCACAGAAGATCAGTTATCCTCCTGTGAGAGTCTGACGGACACTATTGCCAGAGCTCTGCCCTTTCGGAATAAAGAAATAGCTCCCCAGGTCAAGGAAGGGAAACAGGTACTGATTGCAGCCCATGGCAACAGCCTCTGGGGCATTATCAAGCATCTGGAGGGTCTCTCTGAAGAGGCTATCATGGAGCTGAACCTACTGACTGGTATTCCCATTGTCTATGAATTGGACAAGAGCTCAAAGCCTGTCAGGAGCACACAGTTCCTGGGGGATGAAGAGACGGTGGGCAAAGCCATGGAAGCTGTGGCTGCCCAGGGCAAGGCCAAGAAGTGAAGGTCGGCGGGCAGACTACTGTCCCCAGGAGCACCTTCCTTGCCCGGCGTATCCCTCTGCCCCTCCCTCCTGCACACACCACACTGATCACATGTGTAGGTATCTTGAGCTGTAGCGGCAGATAGGGACCAGTGGCTCCCATTTTCATTTTAGCCATTTTTGTCTCCTGCACCCACTCCCTTTGTACATTCTAGTCAGAATAGCACTTCTAGGGCACGGGTTCTCAGTCCAAGCTGTGGAAAAACTCCCCTTGTCCAAGAGAGTTTAAAAGTAGTGACTTGGGTTTTTGTGAGTGCTTTGTTTACTAAGAACTTGTGGAGAGGAACCAGGCTAAGCCATGGCCAATGAGGAGAAGCAAGAGAGCCTGTCTGTCCCCAAGAGCCAGTCCTCTACTCTTCTGTAGTCAGGCCACTGCCTGGGGGCTCTAGTCATTCCAGTGGAAGATGAATGTAACCTGCATCGTGATGTGACAGCTGTTTCCTCCCTGACCCCACAGGAGATGGCTCTAGAAGGTTGGGATCAATCCTGAATTTGGTTTAGGTGTTACATTTACTTTTATAAAAAAAAAAGAAGTATAGTATATGTAAATAATACAAAACAGGAACCCTTCTGGGGTCTCTTGTGGCGGTTGAAATAGTCCCACATGTGGTCATCAGAAAATAAGCCATTCCTCACACCAACATGGGATAAGCCTCTTGACCTCAGAGGAGTAGGAGTGCTTCCTGCTGTGTGTTTTAGAATCCCTCTTCTGCCTCTTGGTTGAAAGCTGTTTTTATGGAAACTTATGGGAGGTATATAGGTAGGTAGTTTTTTTTTCAGTGCTTAAAACACTTTTGTTAAAAAAAGGTGCCCAGAAGCACCGTTCTATACTCAATGCAGGAAACTGAATAAAGTCCTCCTCAATCTGGCACTCATCCAAATGAATTTCAGAGACTCTCTGGGGACATTACAGACCTAACAGCTGCTGTGGACATAAGAGTCTGGAGTCATTCTGGTGCCAGCACTTTATGTGCTTGACTGGAATGCTGCCAACTCTCTAATAACACGCATGATGGGCTTAGTGAATGTCCTATAGTCCTAAAAACCGGATTATTACAGATTTGGTTTAGCAAACTTGGAGAATTATAAAAAGTCATTGTGTGGTTAGAAAAATAGAAGAACACTTTTAAAAGTGGCTATTAAAGTTAAAATCATAAAATTCCAGACTATGTAGCATTAAAGCAAAAAAAGTTCATAGTAAAGACTTGTTTATTTTTTAAATGCTGAAAAGATAAACATGATAACTTCATGTTGCCTTATCTTTCCCACCTTCTTTCCTGTTGTGCTTGAACGTGAAGCCATTAGGAAAATTATCATACGATTATGTTAAGTGAAAAAACCATGATACAGATGGGCAAATAACCTTGTCTCTCAGACTTCGGTTCTTGATTCTTGAGGGGTCCATATGTTCTCTATGAGAAGGTTTTAAAACTGTGATTTCTCTCTGATCTAAAATGTGGATTGATGGGTGGATAGAATTTAGGTGGCGGATATGTGAGTGTGCAACTTTTAAAACTTTTCTGGATGTCTGAAAATTTTCATAATAAAATGTCGGGAAAACTATCACAGACATTCTCAATCAACACAACTTTGTGAATTCATACTTTAGCACATCCTGAGCTCCAAGCATATAGCAATATTAGATAAAGGATGGAAAAAGACATAGCCTACATCAAAAACTAGATATGCATCTCTGTGGACTAGAAATGAATGTTTTCAGTTTTTTGATACTTCTTGAATTAAAAAAATTTTTTAAAAAGAAAAGAAATAAATGAATATGCATTCAGGGGATGGATTCTGAAATAATAGGTCTTTGGGATCTGCTTTCAGAATGAGGCAGCAGCGGTCAGGAGTTCAGATACAAAGGAGTTAATATGACAAAAAAAGAGATCACAGTCAGACCCCCCCCTTTTTTTTTTTTTTGACGGAGTCTGGCTCTGTCGCCCAGGCTAGAGTGCAGTGGCGCCATCTCGGCTCACTGCAAGCTCCGCCTCCCGGGTTCACGCCATTCTCCTGCCTCAGCCTCCCAATAGCTGGGACTATAGGCGCCCGCCACCATGCCCAGCTAATTTTTTGTATTTTTAGTAGAGACGGGGTTTCAC